GAACTAAAGAGCCTCTTGATGAAAGTGAAAGAGGAGAGTGAAAAAGCTGGCTTAAAGCTCAACATTCAGAAAACTAAGATCATGGCATCTCGTCCCATCACTTCATGGGAAGTAGATGGGGAAAGACTGGAAACAGTGGCTAACTTTATTTTTCTGGGCTCCAAAATCACTGCAGATGGTGATTGCAGCCATGAAATTAAAAGATGCTTGCTCCTTGGAAGGAAAGTTATGACCAACCTAGATAGCATATTAAAAAGCAGAGACATCATTTTGCCAACAAAGTCCATCTAGTCAAGGCTATGGTTTTTCCAGTGGTCATGTATGGATGTGAGAGTTGGACAATAAAGAAAGCTGAGCGCCGAAGAATTGATGCTTTTGAACTGTGGTGTTGGAGAAGACTCTTGAGAGTCCCTTGGACTACAAGGAGATCCATCCAGTCCATCCTAAAGGAAATCAGTCCTGAATATTCATTGGAAGGACTGATACTGAAGCTGAAACTTCAATACTTTGGCCATTTGATGTGAAGAACTGACTCATCTGAAAAGACTGTGATGCTGGGAGAGATTGAATGTGGGAGGAGAAGAGGATAAGATGGCTGGATGGCATCACTACTCAATGGACATGAATTTGAGTAAACTCTGGGAGCTGGTGATGGACAGGGAAGCCTGGTATGCTGTAATCCATGGGGTTGCAAAGAGTCAGACACGACTGAGTGACTGAACTGAACTGAACTGAATGTATCTTTTGCCAATTCATTCCACACCTTCCCAGGCCAATCAACTCACTTTCCACTCAATACACTAGACAATACAGTTTCTTTCTAAGGCCCATCCTCCTTCCCATCACACTGCTTCAATTCACGGGTGGCCCTCAGGTCTGCCTTACAGCTACTGTCTTACCAACTACATTCCCAAACATTTTTTACAATCTTTTTAACTTTGGCTTTTAAAGCATAGATTTTTCTCTAAACTGTCTTTAATGTGAAGTTTCAAACTATCACTTAAAGATAACATACTCTTAAAAATTGGCTGTTGTATCAGGGCAGAGTCACAAACTCAAGAATACAGTTTCCAGGGGCTTCCCTGGTAACTCAGTGGTAAAAAATCCGCCTGCTAATGCAGGAGACATGGGTTCAGTTCCTGATCTGGGAAGACCCCTGATACCACATAACAGCTAAGCCCGTGCACAACTACCAAGCCTGTGCTCTGGAGCCTCAGAGCCACAGTGACAGAAGCCCGCAAGCCCCAGAGGCTGAGCTCGGCAATGAGAAGCCACCACAGTGAGAAGCCCACACATGTGACTAGAGAGTACCCTGCTTGCTGTAACCAGAGAAAAGCCTGTGCAGCAACGAAGACCCAGCACAGCCGGAAAAAAAAGCATGCAGTTTGCAGACTGATAGCATACCCTGACTATAATAAACACAATTCAATCCCAATGGTACAAACAGGGAACAAAGGGCCCAGGCTGCCACCTGCTGTCAGCCTAAGACAGCATCCTCAGGCTTTGGCAGACGGTGGGGCCCCAACAGGTGCAGATCAGATGGTTCTGCTGGGGCCCTGAGGTTACATGAAACCTCAAGATTCTGACCTGCTTTTACTCTCTTCTTAACAGGCTCCAAATCCTCCTGATCCTGGGGTTCCGAAAGAGAAAAGGAAGCCCCCTCTCTGTCTGGGAGAGTCGAAGGGAAGCTGGAGATTTCATCACTTGTCACAGATGGACCACACCCCTTTGGAGAGACGTCTGCACCTCTGGAGCCTGTGAGAGGGACAAACAAGAAAGTCTGATTCACCTGCCTCAGGAGAAGAGACAGCAGATCGAAGTGTCACTGATTCAAACTAGGCGCAGATGACACAAGATGCTGTTAAAAAAACCAGAAAACTGGAAGGGTTCATTCTATGAGATTTTTACAGTATATGAATTACATAACCTGTAAAAAATACCACACTGCTATAGTCCCCTATCTCTAGGCTTTCTCTTGAGGATGGAGCAAGACAGCAACTGCTAGAGAAACCTTACTACTGACAGTCTGATGCCTGACACCACCTCTGAACTCCTCAGTGGTTTGTCTGTCTCTGTAACAACACAGGGCAGCACTAGTGAATAGAAAGCGCTGCAGCTACCGCCCCGAGACCCCCATTCTCACTGGAGCTGGAGGGAGGCCCTCGGCCTGCAGAGGTGGGCTCCATGGAAGAGGTAGAGGCCGTGGGGAAGAGGTCCGACGTGGACGTTGATGGCTGTGGTTCCTCAAAGCACACCTGAGTGGCGGGCGATGACAGCAGGACCTGGGGATCCTGAGGATCGTCACCTCGCACTGCACCTGAGGTATCTTTGGTCACGTGGAACATATTTTCTTTATTAGCTTCTGTGAGCACAGAAGGAGCAGGAGGAAAATACAGTCAGGGCACAGATGGGCACCACCGCCTCAGGCAAGCTATTCCTGTTGACGGAGACAGTCAACACAAGGACCCACTTTACACACACCCACTCCTCGGAAAATCCCGCTTACCAAAGGAGTCTTGTGTTACACCTTGCTTTTCATTTAGAGATTCGTAGAGGTATGCCACATCTAAAAGAAATTAACCAAATCAGAGCACTGTCAGTCACGTGCCAGGTGAGAACTCACATTTCTCTTCTGTTCTCTCCCACTACCTCACAGTCACTTTGTCCTTGTCGACTATTTTGACTTCTCAGCTAGTAACCACAGCTGCCAGTGTAAGGGAATTTAAAGCAAGTGATCCCAAACATCTGAACCAAAGCCAAAATAAACAAGCCTCAAGAAACTCATCTGGCAAGAAGAGGCTGACTAAGGGAAGCAGAGCAGCAAGGAGGGATGAGTCTATGCCTCGCTTATTTCAAACCACCAGAAGCAGACACGAGATCCTTATGTGTGGCCACAGGTGGCTTTGACTATGCTGAGGACAACCTGGGGAACACCCGCCCCCTTCTTCCTATTTTGGGGGTACCATGTGAAGGACTTCCCTAACTCTGTCCTGCATCATTCTTCTTCCACAAACACAAACGTGGGTGCTCAGATCAGGACACGCTCCAGTAGAATCCTGTCTGACCTCTGCTGTCTACTATCAAGTGTCCCAAAGCAGAGCCATCTGTGGATTCCAGCCCCCATTCTAGGTCCTGTTCTCAATTTAGGGGTCTTCTTCTGCCAGCTCACCTCTCCCCATTCACTCACCTCTCCTTGGCTACCATTTTGAGACCTGTGGCTCATGACCACGGTGGCATTTCTGAAGAATGGCTCAGAAACTGCAAGGCCAACACTCCCATTCTTCAACAGACACTACCCATACCAAGAATCCACATCAACACAAAAGGGATGCAGGGAAGCTAACATTCCTTCAGGAAATACTGGCTTCAAAAAGCCTCTTCCCACAGTGCTTTCCAGCTGTTGCAGGGCCCCCGGACACACCTCACCTGTGAATCCAGCCCAGGAAACCCCCCTCTTACTGTGTTCTGGCTCATTCTTCCTGTACACCAAGTAGATGACATCCCCAGTCTGTAAAGGGCAAGTTTGCTTCTTAACAACCTTCAGCTTGTTAATGACAGTTCCATTGGCACTGTAAGGGCAACAAAATGGAATTTATCCTACTTAAAGTAACTTGGAGTTAAGTTTCCTTTTCTACAACCAGTAGGAAAGCAGTTCAATATTACCAATTTATTATTTTTTTTAATTTCAAAAAGTTTTTGGCGGTGGCACACAGTACATGGGATCTCATTCCCCAACCAGGGACTGAACTGACACCCCTGGCACCAGAAGTGTGGAGTCTTAATCACTGGACCAACAAGGAAGTCCCTACCACTTTAAAAATGATAAATAATCATAGGAATAATATAAACATTTGTGCCACCTTACAGTTCTCTCAAGAAAAACCTTGCCTGTTGCTCTGTCACTCATAGCCAAATGTTGTCATCAAGTGTTTGAACATCTCTACTGTTCCAAACTCATGTTCTCCTCCTGGTGAAGCCCTAGAATCCACCAGCAGCATGTGCTTTGACTTCCAGCTTCTCTTCTGTTTCTGCACCAGACTCCGTCCACAGACCTACCCCTTGCTCCAGCAGCCTCAGCCCCTCTCAGTTCATTCCTCACATGAGCACCGATGCCCACCATGAGACAAGCTCTGCGTGCTAAGTCGCTTCAGTCGTGTCCGACTCTGTACAACCTTGTAGACTGCAGCCTGCCAGGCTCCTCTGTCCATGGGATTTCCCAGGCAAGAATACTGGAGTGGGTTGCCATGCCTTCCTCCAGGGGATCTTCATGACCCAGGTATCAAACTCATATCTCTTATGTCTCCTGCACTGGCAGGCAGGTTCTTTACCACTGGTGCCACCTGGGAAGCCCTGAGACAGGCTCTGGGCAGAAGCAAATCAACACACAACTACCGACGACAGGATGACAGTGTGGTTCCTGCGCTCGGGAGGCCACTCCAGTTAATCAGGGACCATGGGCCTTCCCTGGTGGTCTAGTGGTTGAGAGTCCGCCTGTGAATGCAGGGGACACAGGTTGTATCCCTGGTCTGGGAAGACTCCGTGTGCCATGGGGCAACTAAGCCTGTGTACCACAACTACTGAGCCCGGTCTCTTAGAGTCTGTGTGCCGCAACTATAGAAGCGGAGAAGCCCCAAGCTCCACAGCAAAAGAAGCCACTGCAATGAGAAGCCCACACACAGTAAGGAAGAGTAGCCCCCACTCGCCACAACTAGAGGAAGCCTGGTACAGCAACGAAGACCCAGCAGAGTCTAAAATAAGCGAATAAATATTAAAAAACCAGGGACCACCCTGCTGGGCGGGAGGGCAGCGGGCACTACTGGGAGAGACAGAAGCCTGAGTCAGACGGGACAGGTGGGGCCTCCCTGAGGAGGGCCTCCTGAGTGGACAGAGGCCACACTGCCACCGAGGGGAAGAGCGCCCCTGAGCTTAGCCAACTGTGGGCGCTCACCCCATGGCTGCACTCTTAAGGCCCCCAGGGAGGAAGAGGCTCTAGCCTAGCCTCTGAGCAGGCTTCCACTACCCTAGATTTCTGTTTAGGGCCAGACAGTAAACAGTGCGGGCGGCGCTGTCACACCGTCTCTCTTCCGAGTCCTCAGCAGCTGGCAGGGTCCCCGCAGGGCTGGGCTGCCTTCCCAGTAAAAGCCCACTTACAGAGACCGGCAAAGCTGTCTCAGCAGGGCCACGGCTCCGCTGCCAGGCTCTTCTCAAGATCCATCCTCAAGCTCCTTCTAACCCAAAAGCCTGATTTCACTTTTCTGCTTAAAAAGTGAAAGGGAAGCCACTCAGTCGTGCCCGACTCAGCGACCCCATGGACTGCAGCCTACAGGCTCCTCTGTCCGTGGGATTTTCCAGGCAAGAGGACTGGAGTGGGCTGCCATCGCCTTCTCCAGGGGCGCTTAGACCCCTTGGAGACTCCTTACTGTTCTCAGGCTAACATCTGCTAGCTCCAGCATGGACGCCGGGGTCTCCCTGCTGCCGCTTCTGGGCCTTCTGCATGGAACACCCCTGCCCCTCCAGCCACCTCGGCCAAGGGAGGCAGTGGCTTCTGGAATCCGGGACAGAAGACAGCTTCCCTCTAGAGCCTCCAGAGAGAGCTGACACCAATGAGACCTGAGGTGGACTTTGGGCCCCGAGGCCTATAAGATCCCAGATTTCTGTTGTTTTCAGCTACTGAGCTTTTGGTTATTACAACAGTATAATAGCATAATCCCATTAATACAAAATAAATATGTATACCTTTTCAGTGGGTGAGTGCAATTTGGAAAGCTTTTCACTTTCACACACTACTTATGTGGTGTAATAGTAAAAAAGAAAAGGAAACCTCTTTATTTGGGGAAGTCTAACTTGCATATGTTTGTAAACACCCAAAATGTATCACTCCCTTTTAAGTCTTATTTCTGAGACATTTTTGCTTTAATCTGAAAATATTCAAGAACTGTCACAGGCACCAGTGTCACCAAGTAGCCCATCCTAGAAACCAGAAAATATATCTCCCAATACCCAGAGATCCGAGCAGACTTCTGAGCTTAGAAAGGGGGTCTATGTCTCTTCTCTGCAGTCACTGGCTAAAGTTGCCTTCCTGAATCTACAAGAGGAAATAGGGAAGAAGCTCAGAAAGGGCTTACCTGGTATCTTCCAGTGATACCTGACCAGATTTTTCATCCACTGTAATTTTACAGTGATCTCCAGAGACCAATTTATTGCCAGGGAATGAAAGGTCACAACCTAAAACAGAGAGGGAGGTGTGCAGAGAAGGGGAATACAACTGTGGGTACTGGGCACAACACTACATTGGTTTAGTGATATCAAACGACGAAAAGTCAAGACCCACTAAGTCAAGACCCAAAAAGCATTTAACTGTTAATCCAAAGGGAAAAGGGTCTATGTCTTGAACCTTTCTGCTTCCTCATTACCCAGAGGATATACCCCATCAACACCTCTAGCTACACATCAACTGCTTCATGGTGATGTTTTTACATTATGCACATGTATGCAGACAACCTGACAAGTATTATAGAACTTTAAGAAAAAACCTAAGGGGCTTATTAAATATCTTCAGTATCATAGTCCTGAATTTCTTCTGTGTAATCTAAGGTTTCATAAACGGTCACAAAATTGAAGCAGTGACAGAGTCACAAAAAATATGACTGCGTGAGTTATCACAGGCACACGTACATGTTTAAAAAAATTTAAAACAAAACGGGGATGTATCTATAGCTGAATACAATCACTGTATTCTCATTAAATCCAAGGGGGAAACCCTCAAATACTTTGTTCTCTCCTAAAATCAAAAGAATAAATGCTTTCAGGAGTGTTTTAATACCAAGTCACTAATCTGCCTATGATAGGTCTGCACCATAGCTACTAATGTTTATAGTAGCTTTATTTTATTGTTTTTGGGGCCATGCCCTGCAATTTGTAGGATCTTATTTCCTCAACCAGGGACTGAATCTGCACCTTCAGTAGTGAAAGCACACAGTCCTAACCACTGGACAACTAGGGAATTCCCTACAGTAGCTTTATTTTTAATAAACAAACGTGGGAAGCAGTACAGAACAAGTATCCATCAACTGGTGATGAATTAATACACACACTGCAGAACACCACCCAGCAACAAAAAGGAACACACTTGATACACATAACTGCCAAGGATGAACCTCAAAAGCACCAGCCAAGAGAAAGAAGCTGGACCCAAAGACAGTGTTGCGATAATGTATGATTTCCCTTAGATGGCTTTAGATGGTCTTCTGGAAAAGACCAAACTACAGGGAGAGAAATCAGATAGGTGGGTGTCACAATTTGAGGTTGAAGGGGCACAGACAGACTCCAAAAGACCACCAGGAACTTTTGAGGTGATAGAAATGCTCTGTATCTTGATGGTAGTGGTGCCTCCATTTCTCAAAACTCACTGACCACCTAAAAGGGGCAAATTTGACTAAGTGTGAACTATGCTTCCATAAACCTTAAATCTTATTTGCCCAAACACTCCACATTATGGGAAGTATTTTGCTACATTTATCTGAGGTGTATTTCACCTGTGCTCAAGACTGTCCTATTACACTGGGCAAAACCACCAGGATGGTCTCACAGCCCCAGAGCCAGGCTGGTCACTGTGGCACTGGAGTGGGGTTTTAATAGGCTTCTCCGTGCCAGAACATCAGCATTCCCATTGAGAACTGGAATATTGTGCATTTGTCTTTCAGTTGGTTAATCTCTCCATGGCTGGTATGTATTTCTGTCACTCCCCAAGAATGGGGAGCTCTTTAGGAAGGCGAGGACTCCCACTCCCCCTCACACATCAACTCAGCTCTCCCTTTTTCTCAAAATAATGCCTTGTACATAGCAGGTGTGTAACAGATTTAAAATAATCAAGTTCTATAACCTGTGTGCCCCCCAAAATTAATACACTGAAACCCTATCCCCTAAAGTGACTGTATCTAGACAGAGTGACTGTGGATGATAAATAAGATCATTAGGGTGGGGCCTTAATCTCAGAGGGTTGAGGTATTTATAAGAGGGAGACACCACAGGTCTCGTGGTCCAGTATGAGCGGACAGAAAGAGAAGGCAGCTCTCTGGGATCCAGGAAGAAGAGTTCTCATCAGGAAACAAATCGACTGGCACCTTGATCTTGGACTTCCTAGACTCTAGAAGTGTAAGAAATAAATTTCTGTTGTTTAAGCTTCCTGATCTGTGGTATTTTGTTATGGAGGCCTGGGCAGATTTTTAAACTCTACATTTTGCTGCAAAGGTTAATACATTTAAGGAAAGGACTTTCAATAGAATCAGCTCAACTACATATTTATGTTCCTTGCTGTTGTTGTTCAGTCACTAAGTCATGTCCAACTCTTTGCGACCCCATGAACTGCAGCACACCTGGCCTCCTTGTCCCTCACTATCTCCCGGAGTCTGCCCAAGTTCATGTCCATTGAATCAGTGATGCTATCCAACCATCTCACCCTCTGTTGCCCTCTTTTCCTTTTGCCTTCAATCTTTCCCATCATCAGGGTCTTTTCCAATGAGTAGATAATTGTTCGCATCAGGTGGCCAAAGTATTGGAGCTTCCTTGGATTAACATGTAAAGTGATACTATAGTGTTGTGTTATAATAACAATGGCTAACATTAAGTGCTAACTCTTAGCCAGGCTTCTTTAATCTTCACAGTGACCCTATGAAGTAGGTACAAAGGCACTGAAACGTAAATTTTTAACCTAGAATAAGTTGTGCTGTGCTGGTGGTGCTGCTGCTTCTGCTGGTGTCGTGGTGGGCCTGGAGGTGGCGGTCTCCAGGGCTTCTGCTCTTCATCAAACATCCATTTACACCAATTAATGCATCTTGAAAAGTTTCTAATAATACATAAATATTTTTAAAGTTGTAAAAAAAAATAACTTGATGCTGGGGTTTAAGACTGTTTTCCAAAAGACCCCAACAGAAAAACAGGTACAGGTACATCGTACTGGGTAAAATGAGGCCAAAAAATACTTGCTTTTAAGTAGTAATCTTTCTTTCTCTCTCGTTTAAAGTATAAAGTCAGAATAACACTGTATTCATTTTTAAAAATATTTATTTATTTGGTTGCATCAGGTCTAAGTTGCATCAGGTCTAAGTTGCATCATGTGAACTCTTAGTTGTGGCATGTGGGATCTAGTTCCCTGACAAGGGACGGAACTCTGGTTTCCCTGCATTGGGAGTGCGGAGTCTCAGATGCTGCACCACCAGGGAAGTCCCAGAGTCACAATTTATTAATTTGCATAAAACCAAAATATTTTTGTTGGCCTCAGTGCACTGCACTCTTAGTATGAAAGCTACAAGGGAGGTTAAATTATCAGAGGTCTAGAGACAGTAAGCATCGAGGGTGAGGGCTCTTCCTCTCACTACTTGTGTGACTTTCTTCAAGTCCTTAGCTTCCCCTTTCATTAAGTCAACAAATAATTGAGCAACTCTGTTCTAAGAGCTGGGACCTGAGATCTTTTTTAATGTAGTGGTTTACAGATAAGCACTGCTTATCTGCATCCCCTAAGTTTTGGAACATTATAGTTTGGGGCTTCCCTGATAGCTCAGCTGGTAAAGAATCCTCCTGCAATGCGGGAGATCTGGGTTTGATTCCTGGGTTGGGAAGATCCCTTGGAGAAGGGAAAGGATAACCACTCCAGTATTCTTGCCTGGAGAATCCTATGGATGGAGGAGCCTGGTGGGCTGCTGTCCATAGGGACGCACAGAGTCGGACACGACTGAGGCGACTTAGCATGCATGCATATAGTCCATGGGGTCGCAAAGAGTTGGACACGACTGAGCGATGTTTACATATGATATTTTTACTTATGTCAAGATATTTTCTAATTTCCCTTTTGATTTCTTCTTAGACCCACTGCTTCTTTAAGAATGTTATTTAATTTCCACATATCTGTGGATTTTCCAGTGTTCCTTCTGCTTTGCTTTCTAATTTCATTTCTATTAAGGTTAGAGAAGATGCTTTGGGTAGTAATAAACTTGAGAAGATTGCATTCCCGGGGATAAATTATTATATCTACTTCATAAATTTGTAGGGAGGCTTAAATAACCTGAATGAAGCACTCAGAAGTGACTGGGCAGACCATTAAGTGAATACACGGCAGCTGTTACACCAAAGCCCATTCCACTGGAAAAACTGGACGGCAGAATGCGCCCCGCCCAGGGGCCTCCCATAGCCTGGTGGGCCCGGTCTCGCCGTGCTCCTATCACCAGGCTTCCGCTCTCAGCCCCCGGGTTCTATCCTTCGGTCCCCGTCTCCCACCCCCATCCCGGGTCCCTGGTCCCCGCCCCCGTGCCCTGACCCATCCCCAGGCTTGTCCCCCGCCCGTCCCACGTTTCCCATGCCCGCTCGCCGCCGCGCACCTCTTCTTCGCCCGATGGTCCACTCCCGTTTCCTCAGGAGGACGTGCGGCTCGCCCTCCTCGGCGCCCAGGCGAAGAAGCCTCCCCCAAGGCTGCTGCTGGGGCGGCTGCTCGCCTTCCCCCGGCCGCTCCATCGGATTCACATCTGACGAGACCCGGAAACGTCGGGTGAGACCCGGACCGCAAGGGCAGAGGCTGCGGCCTGCCGCTCCTCCTCGGCGCCCGCGCCCCGCCGCTGCGGCCCGCGCCGCGAGCCTCCCCAGCGTCCCGCCGGACGCCCGCGCCCGTCGCCAGCTTACCCCCCGCCCCGCGCCGAACCCGGAACCGGCCGCGCCGCCACCGCTGCTGTCAACAGACATCGCAGATCCCTCAGCTGATCCACTGGGCGGGGCCGGCGGCGTCCTTGCCCTGCGATTGGCGGGCGGTGGCAACCACTGAACACAGCGGCTAGAGTGGAACCTGGAGGACGGGCATCGAGAGTGGACACGTGGAGGCTAGCAGAGCGTGCGCAGAGGATAGGCTGTGGGCTTGGATGCCATCTTTGATGCTGGCCGGGACGACTTGGTGTTCGCGGATCTCGGAAGTAGCTGAGGTCAGCCTCATGTTAAGTCCTCGCGAAGGGGACAGAGTAGCGAGCATTGGGCACCAAAGCAAATTCCCAAAGCTGCGTTGGAAGTGTCGATGGCGTTTAGAAGTGCGAAGCAACGGTCTGCCTTACATCTGCCGAGGTACATGCAAGTTGAAATTTTCCAAAGCCAGTTTTCCGGCGATCGGAAAGTTGATAGTACCCTGGGAGAGCTCTGGAAAGCGCGAGCATCTCCGCATTGGTCGGCACCTCTTGGAGGCCGTGATGCAGTCTTTCCGTTTTAAACGCACGTTTCCTGGACTGAAGCGATTCCGCCTTTTGGGATCTGGTGGCGCTGCGGTGAGTGTTCCAAAGGAGAATGATCTGGGATCGTCCGTGCTGGGCGCGTGAGAGTGAAGGTGCCGAGTCCTGGGAGCCGACCGTGCGGCCTCGGGCCGTGCGAGGCCACGTCTGACCGACCAGGACGTCTACAGGGAAGTAGCCACCGGTTGGTGTAAGAATAAATGGGTCCATAGTTTTGTTTCACAAAAACAATGTGAAAGGACAGGAAATGCCTTGTGAAGAAAGAGTAGCAGTCACGGGAGTGAGGGAGCCATCTTACATCATTTGTAGTTTTTACCGTTTTCGTTCATTACATTTTCCCCTTCAAATAAGAAAATGCAAATATTTTTTCTCTGAGACTGTTTCTCAGTATTATTTTGTGGGGGACTTAGGCTACTGCACTCGTTCTCTGAACCAGGGCCCATTAGCTTGGCATCGGGAGTTCTTTGAGGGCTTTTTTCAGTCTACACAAGGCAGACTGTTTCTCAGTATTATTTTGTGGGGGACTTAGGCTACTGCACTCGTTCTCTGAACCAGGGCTTATTAGCCTGGCATCGGGAGTTCTTTGAGGGCTTTTTTCAGTCTACACAAGGCAGACTTTTCATAGAACCAGGATGAAGCTGAGCCAAAGGAACAGCCCACTCTTCATGGGTGACAGTTTTCTGAACCTCGGGGACAGTGAGCCAACTCAGGCTAAAGCCCCATGGCAGCTAGTGGTAAAAAAAAGTGCATCTCTCCTGTTAGTCGCAGATTCAGTACATAGGAAAGGCCAGAATTGAAAATTCCTCTTTTAGATGGAAGAGAATCAAATCACAGCACCCTATTGGACATTTTGGGTATTGGAGACACTATTGAGAGGCTAATCAGGCCTTTTTGTTCAAGTGAAAATACGATACTCCATAACATGGCTGGTCTAGCTGCAGCAGCAGCTTGGCTTTACAAGGACTGGCAGCTACTGTCAGGTTGAAACCTTATCCTCTCTGCCCCCCCCTGCCCCCAAACCCTTTCACCTCAAGCAAATTCACTGGGTCAATAGGGTCCTTGATTCACAGATATTCTCTTAAAGTGTGGACTTAATTCACTCATGGTTTGGTTTTGGTGTCGAGCAGGTCCCAGTGGCTCACCAGCTATGTAGATATGAAAGCAGTCATACTCTACTTAATGGCCAGAACTGAAGACTGTTCTCAGAGCTCTGGCCAATACTCACCTTGATTTTTTGACCCTCAAATTGTTGCCAGTGGTGTGGTTGTCTGATCTGTCACTTTGAAGAGTAGACCGACAGATTAAAGACATTAGTCTTTGGGGTTTCAGTCTTTTACAAATGGTGGCAGCTTATCAGACTGTCTGGGGCTTCCCTGATAGCTCAGCTGGTGAAGAATCTGCCTGCAATGCAGGAGACCCAGTTTCAATTCTTGGATTGGGAAGATCCCTTGGAAAAGGGATAGGCTACCCGCTTCAGTATTCTTGGGCTTTCCTGGTGGCTCAGATGATAAAGAATCCACCTGCAATGCAGGAGACCTGGGCTCGATCCCTGTGTTGGGAAGATTCCCTGGCAAAGGGCATGGCAACCCACTCCAGTATTCTTGCCGGGAGAATTCCCATGGACAGAGGAGCCTGGTGGGCTACAGTCCATGGGGTTGCAAAGAATCAGAGACAACTGAGCGACTAAGCACAGCACAGCTTCAGACTGTCTAGATCAGTTATAGATGTATTGGGGCTTCCCTTTTAGCTCAATTGCTAAAGAATCTGCTTGCAGCGCAGGAGACCTGGGCTCAATCCCTGTGCTGGGAAGATCCTCTGGAGAAGGGCATGGCAACACACTCCAGTATTCTTGCCTGGAAAATCCTAGGGACAGGAGCCTGGCAGGGCACAGTCCATGGGATCGCAAGAGTCAGACATGACTTAGTGGCTAAACCACCATTTTTTTATGAAAACAAACAGAATTAAGCTCTCAAACCTGCCCCTTCCTGATCACTGACTACCACCTGCAATAGAAATCAGCCTCAAAATTCCAGGGTACCCCCCATCATAGGCTGGCAGACGTAAAGGATTTTATGTTCCTGATGTAGAAGCCAGCAGGTAACTTGGGAGGTGGCAAAGCTTATGCTTTGTTCTGTTGAGGGGGACTTGTATCTCCTGGCAAAAGTTGCCCCACTGATTTTGTCTTAAAAGAGGACAAATAACTTGGGGTGCCGACCTCCCTATTCCTGGGAAACGATCTGCCCTTTGACCCCTTCTCAGGGCTGCCAGTGATGTCTCACTACTGTTGACATTTTTTCAGAAGAAGGTGGTTTTTCATCTGATCAGCCAATTCTGGACACATTGACTTGGCCCTTGAAATGAAATGAAACTGAACACATGTTTTTGATTGGCCCATTTGCCATCTAACAATGATCCATTTTTTGTAATAAAGTTTATACAATGATTGATAGACTTGGCCCTTGAAATGAAATGAAACTGAATACTTGTTTTTTATTGGACCATTTGCCATTTAACAGTGATCCATTTTTTGTAACAAAGTTTATACAACAATGACTGATAGTCAAGGTATTAAAGGGACCTACCAAACTCCTTCATCGTTTCCTCTTCTCACCTAAATTGGGTTGTTTGGTTACTGTATTAATTTCCCATTACTGCTGTAACTAATTATTGTAAATTAGTGGCTTAGAATAATACAAATTTAACAGTTTTTGAGGCTAGAAGTCCAAAATGGGTCTCCTTGGGCTAAAATCAAGGTATTGGCAGAATGTATTCCTTCTGAAGTTTCTAGGGAGAATATGTTTCCTTGTCTTTTCCAGCATTCCTTGGCCCATGGCTTCTTCCTCCGTCTTCAAAGCCAGCATTGCCCAGCTAAGTGTTTTTCAACATGCTATGTCTGTTTCTGACAAGTACCTCTATCTTTCACCTATAAGGACCCTTGTGATTAAATTGTACCCACCTGGATAATCCAGAGTATTCTCCCTATCTAAAGGTTCATAATTTCATCACATAAAGAGTTACTTTTGCTGTGTAAGGGAACATATTCACAGAGAATAGGAAGTGGACATAGTTGGAGGTCACTATTCTGCCTACCCCAGTTTCCAAACTCTGTTGTTTTTAAATCTCTACTTGCCTGACTCCTGAATAATACTTAAGAAAAAATCGTAGGGAACTTCCCTTGGGGACCAGTGGTTAAGAATCTGCCTGCCAGTGCAGGGGAGGTGGGTTCAGTCCCTGGTCTGGGAAGATTCCACATGCTGTGGGGCAACTGAGCCCATGCTCTAGAGTTTACAAGCCATGACTACTGAAGCCTTCGTGCCCTAGAGCCTGTGCTCTGCAATAAGAGGCCACCACAATGAGAAGCCCTCACACCACAACAAAGAATATCCCTTGCTTGCTGCAACTAGAGAAAGCCCGAGTGCAGCTGTGAAGACCCAGCACAGACAAAAATAAGTAAATAAAGTTAAAAAAAAAAAAAAAGAGTGGTAGGGAAATATGTGAGATTATACAGACTATTTTTTAGGTTTCCACCCTAACCATTCCCTGGAATGGTGCTTCCTTGTTTCACTGATGAGCAACAATAAGCAGGCCTGAGTGTTATCCCTTCCAGGTGGCTATCCAGAAGTAATCCTAAGGGATGAAAACAAAGTTTAATTCTTCTTTGTTCAGCTGAATTTTCTTGTTGGAGTAAGACAGTCTTGAATCATGAGAATAATTATCACTTGATCAAGTGCACTGGTTTCTCACTCCCCCTTCAGTGGCCTACATAGGCGAAAGTAGGAGATACGGTGAGTCTCTGAAATTTTTATAAAAGTGCTTTTGTCTCAGTCCACGACTTCATATGAAAAGCCTGGGTGTGAAATTGAGTTAATTGTTGGAAAGATAAAGATATAACTTCTGAATTGGAATACACTGAAGAGAGAGCAGCAGTGTTGGTCATTTGGAGCAGGGTGACCCTTATGTCCTGCGAGGTCCAGGGAGTTAATGGAGGTAGCCAGTGTTCTCTTTGCCCCCCTCATTCAGCACTGATTCAACAGCTGTAGCTGGCAATCTGACCTGCAGGCAAATTTGTCATGTTCACCCGTACCCGTTAAAAGCAGAAAAATTTGGCTGATTCATGTCAATGTATGGCAAATACCACTACAATATTGTAAAGTAATTAGCCTCCAATGAGTAAAAATAAATGGAAAAAAAATAAATAAATAAAAGCAGAAAAAGTGATTTCCAGATTCCAGGCAATGTGTAATGAGTTTCAAGTTGTCT